CTACTTTTGGGCATTTGGGCTGCTTCCATGTTTTTCCAATTGTAAATAAAGCAGCAATAAACATGCACCCCCCCCCCTTTTTAATCTTAGCTATAAACAGGCAACAGCTTTCTCATGTAAAATTACATACAGGGGCCTCCCTGGTGGCAAAAGGGGTTACAGCACAGTACCATGAAGCTATCTGCAGCCACTGCAGCGCGAGTTCGATCCCCAGCCAGGGACCCACATGGCCCAGTAGACCTCTCCTGTCCCACTCACTGCTCCCCTTAGCAGTGTACTCTGTCAATCTGCCTGTTCTGCTTTCCACTCTGTCTCTGGTGAATTCTCTCACCTTCCCCCCCTCCCATCTCTAGGGCCTGTACCCCAGTCCTTGTATGCATAAACAAAAAATAAAATAAAATCATATATACATCAGCCTGGGTTTTTAAGGATGGATGGCTTATCTACCGAAAGTGATTTTTTTTAAAGGGTAATAGATAACTCACTCAATCATCATTCATCTACCTGTGCTCCAGTCTTAACATCTAAATTCTAAGCATCTTCATACTCCTGCCCCTACCTAAAATATTTCCCATAATACTCATGCCTGAAAGAACACACAACTGTCCAGAACCAAGTTAATGATCATGTCCGCAACGAAACCTTTCTTACCTATCCTTCCACCCTGAACTGGCCACTCCCCAAAAGCTCACCATTCCCTGCATACCTCAACCACAGGATCTAAGTAACACTTGTTAGTTACAGACGTGAAGGGCAGGACTATGTACAGGGAGGGAGGTTGGGATACCAAGAATTTTTCAATCTATGTGAATCAATTTATGTTCATTTGTTATACTCTATATGTGTTATACTCTAATTTAGGAGGGGGGTAGGCTTAGTGAAACTATTTGTGATTGAAATAGCATCTCTCAGAGAGAAGATTAAAAACCAGGCCAAGTAATTAATTCTTTAAATGAATTTAAAGTTGTGCTTATTAAGACAAGGGTGTCCACTACCACCACTGTTCTTCAACATAACATTGGAAGTTCTAGCCAGAGCACTATGACAGGAAAAAGGCATACAAGGAATCCAAACAGGGAAAGAAGAAGTAAAACTATCCTTATTTGCAGATGATATGTTAATTTACATGGAAAACCCTATTTACATGGAAACCCTAAAACTCCACAGAGGAACTAATCAAAACCATCAACTAGTTTAGCAAGGTAGCAGGATATAAAATCAACACACAAAAGTCAGAGACTTTCCTATACACAAACAACCAATCAGAAGAAGCAGAAATAAAAAAAGCTGTCCCCTTTTCAATTAAAACAAAAAGAATCAAATACCTGGGAGTCAACCTAACAAAAGAGATAAAAGACCTTTACAAAGAAAATTACAAAACACTATTAAATATACAGACCAGTGGATTCAAACAGAAAACTCATATATAAACCCACAAGTTTGTGGACAGCTAATTTTTTACAAAGGAGCAAAGAAGATACTATGGAACAAAGAAAGTTTGTTCAGCAAAATGGTGCTTGGAAAACTGGGATGCTACATGCAAAAAAATGAAGCTAGATCACTGCCTCAACTCCATACACAAAAATCAACTTGAAGTAGATTAAAGACATAAGATGTAAGAATGGAAACCATAAAATACCTGAAAGCAAAGATGGGCCAAACACTATACGACATACACTTCAGCGACATCTTTAAAGATAGAGCACCCAATGCCACGATAGTGAAGGCAGGATAAATAGATGGGACTACATCAAGTTCAAGAGCTTCTGTACAGCAAAGAGACATTACAAAAAAACAGACAGCCTACTAATTGGGAAAAAAATTTCTCACACAAAACCAGTGATAAAGGACTGATCACAAAAATATATGGAGAACTGGTATGAAACTCAACAAAAATAAAATAAACAACCCCATCAAAAAATGGGTAGAACCTGAAAACAATTTCCCAGGCTGGCTTTCAAAGAAGCTAAGTCTTCTGTGGACCTTAGTTTAAGTATCTCTACAGTAGCTACTACCACCTTTCCCCCCCAAAAAAATCAAAATCGAGGTTTTGATTTCTGGGCTTTCAGTTACCCATCATCAACCAAGGCCCAAAAACAGCACATATGGTAAGATAGTTTATTACTGGCCTAATAAATAAACTTTACCATAACTATGCATTGACACATATATAGATATAAAAAACAAAACAGTACATTCAGAGTTTGGTACTATCTAGGGTTTCAGGCACTCACTAGGGTTTTGGAAAGGAACCCTGTAGACAACTATACTCACTCATTGAGTATGCAGATACCAAAAAGACTAGCCATCTCATGCAAACCGATAGCTGTCTCTAGCCAAGGAGAAGCCAGAGTACCTAAGGCCATTGAGATCAAGTTCTGGCCTTTCCCCTAAATCATGCTGTCCTCATTTCAAGAGCCAGCTACTATTTAAAGCTCAAATTACCTCACCGTTCACTACTAGGTCTCTTGTCTCCAGTTGCAAATGAGTTCAGCTGCTGAGCTCAAAAGGCAGCAGTTTGTTTATGTCAAGTTTGTCTAATTGCCTCAGATAAACTAGAACATGGAGATTATGAAATGCCATTATCACCTTTCGATACAGTAACTCAACACATTTGGAACAGACCCACATGTTTTCTGCCAGTGAAAAACTAAGTTAGAGGGGAAAACCTTTAGCTCTAACACATCTACTCAAAAGAAAATGAAGTTTCTTTAAAAACCTGAAATCAGAATTTTAAGAAATCCTTAAGATCAAGTTGACTGACAATATCAAAATGACTTACTCTGTGGTTTTTACAGTAAACAGAGATCAGAGCCCTACTAGTTTTAAAGATCAAAAGATAATTTAAAGGGCTACAACAGTCTTCCTGTGGTATCCAGAAGGGGCTTAACCAAAACAGAGTGACTGCGCATGGGAAGATGTTTGGGAAGGGAGGTGACAGTTTCTGAGGAGGTGACATTTACTGTCAACCGCTGCTGGAGAAGTGTGTGTCGCTCAGTATAGTTTGTTCTGCTTAATAACAAAATTAAGGTTTCTTTCTGATTCTCATGATACTAGTTGATTTTCAAATTTCTTTTATTGAGTTAGAGAACTGAGTATTAAGCTTAGATAAATCTATCATTCTCATGAATGATCTAAGAACTCGAACTGCCCAAATCCCAACTAATAAAGAATCAGGTATTAGTATCAACAGTTCTCCATTGAGAGCTGATGAGGACAGAAATCTCATCTTAAGATCAGCAAAACTTGATTCTTAGAGAGCTATTACATGACTTTCTGACCCCTAAATCTTAGAACACCAAGTCACTCACAATTTCCTCAATTTATCAAGAACTTTAAATTGTTAACCACTGTAGTTTCAAATGTTTGTTTAAACTTCTCAAATAGGATCAAACTAGAATTAAGTTTACCTTTAAAGCTATAAACAGTGGAGCTGAACATACAATATCAATGAAGCTGAAAATCTTCACAAAGAACTGAAGTTCACACTCAAAAAAATAAAATCATAGTAAGAACAGAATTTTTAGGGCAGAGAAACTTTAAATATACAGTCTAATGGTAGATAGATGTCATTATCTACTTGTCAAAATTCAGACTATGCAACACCAAGAATGAAACCTCACATAAAATATGAACTCTAGACAATAGTGACATGTCAATATAGGTTCCTCTGCTGCATTTTTTGCTCTCCTAGTTTGGAATACTATCACCTGAAAGGGTCAAGAGGCCATCCATGAAAATGGTGATGCCACCAAATGTGATGTATTTTTACACCCTACAGCAAAATCAGAGATGCAAGACAGTGCAGGCAATAAACCATTGCATACAAATGTTTCTGTTCCACTGCAATTACATTAATCGTGTTATTTTAAAGATGGCCTGCTAAATGACTAAAAACTGACGATAATCTGAAGATATGCTCTGCTTATCTGAGTAAAATGCTTTAAATTTGATTTATAATCTTAGAGAACAGTTAACAGAAGAGGCAAGATGGCCATCTTTAGAAAAGTCTGCTTACAAAGCTGACCCTTGAATGGCATTTAAGAACTTGGGTTTTGAAAGTGTTCCCATTATTCCCAGGTAAGAATGGTTCAGTGTCCCTATAAACCATTTGTGCAAACACTGTATTTGATGCTAAACTCCTATTTTTTCCTTCTGAGTCTCCCATTTTGTCATGTACTAGGCAAAATGACCAGACCCCAATAAATCCAATGCCCTTACCTTCAATATGCTTAATACTGACTCCACTGGGCTTGTGTCTCGTTTACTCTCTGATCTACTTTGATCTTTTCATTTTGTTGACTGAACTTTGTGTTAAA